GCATCACTCTGGAAATACCATCCCTGCTTCTTCAGAGGCAAACAAAGGATTCTGGTTTGGTTCATCAAGGTGGCAGGAAATCTATATGATCCTTGCCAGGTGGAGCCCATGATTGTGCCACTTTCCATGTAATATGTCTAGAAGAAGGTAGTGATGCAAATAAGGCTGTATCTTTCTCTTTTTCAGGCCACCCAGTTGTGCGGCGGCAAGCCTTAAGCATTGTAATAGCACCATTATTCTTGGTCAGACTGACTGACTGGCTGGAGCTCAACACATTCATGTGTAGCTTATAAGCTCAACATCATTTAACAAGTTCATTTTCACTCTTCACAGAGAGGCAAGAATATAAAAACTGTATCATTTAGGTATGCCTGCGGTGCCACATCCCCAAGATTTAAATATTGTATAATGTAATTTTTGAAGGTCTGCTTCAAATGTTATGTTGCTAATATGTTATCCTCTAATTCTTGAAGTGAATGCATGCCCTTTTCTTTAAAAAAGCAAAAAAAAAATGCTTTTGTACTTTGAAGAAACAAAAGTAACTATGAGGTAGCATTTCAGTGTGTAAATCACTCTCACTAACCTATTTGAAATAAAAAGCCCTAGGGTAATATCAGAACATGCAGTGCATATTTTTGAAGATTATAAAAACTCAGTTTTATGGCCCTTGCAAATTCACTCCTGCTGCAAAAAGTGTGGAATTCTTAACCATAGCCTTTGCTGGCTGGGGCTGATGAGAGCTGATGTCCAACATCTAGAGAACACCAGGGTGAGAAAGGATGCTGTAAAGTTTGCTATACAGATTGGAACAATGATTCTTCCAATGGTTGTGCCACAATTCTATACTCCAGGTAAGGAAAGAAATCAGAAATATGTTTTGTTTCAGTAATCACCATCATATCCTGTTTTCTGCCTGTTCATGTAATACTACATATTAGAACTGACATCATGGATAGAAAGGAGCCTGAGCAAAATTACACAAGATGTGTCAATTATTTCGCCAGTGCAATGATTGTTATCACTCTACAATGTTATGCAAATAATCATTGCAAATGCAATTATCGCTAGCTCCACTTTTGCATTTCAGGTCCCCTCTGACCTCTGATTGGGTTTTACAATCCCACGTCACTGCTCTGCCAAGCATGGATACAGAAATCTGCCAACTTGAGATGAATCCCTTATGTGTCTGATGAAGTGAACAGCTTTTCCAAAATCTTGTTGTTATAAATGTGTTCCTCTTTTGCTACCTTAAAGACTCATTGTTTTTAATAATTCCTGCATTCCAATAATTTCTGCATCAGGTGTGCATATTTTATGGTTCCTTGACTTTTTTTTTTATCCTGCTAGGTTTCCCCCAAACCTGATAAGGTCTTTCCTTCCTACTTAGGACACTGCCCTAGAACAGATTGATTAAGTCCAGCTAAGTGATGGTCTCCTGAAAAACGTCAAAGCTAGGGCTAGCCCTGTATCAATTCAGCAGCAGCCTGCAATTACTGTATTTACGTGCATAGCTGTAAATAGAAGTGAGTATGGAGGTGTAGGCTATGGAATACATTTTACTGCCATCACAGAATTCAGCCTATAAAGACCAATACCTCACCCATGGACTGAATCCTCATTGTCTTTTCTTTAAAAAGTTATTTAGAGAAGGAATGAACTAGGCTTTGTGACTGACACAACTGCTGCATGCAGCCTTGCTCTGAGGAAAGCAAATGGAGCTCATCAACTGCTGTCCAAAGCTAGCCTCTGTCCAAACCCTGAAAGCTCCTCAGTGTTGGTTACAGCACTGCATTAAAGATACTAACGATGCTACAATAAAACCTCATAACACAGCAACACATAACTGTAATTTAAAAGCAGCAGTAAAACAACAGGAGTCTGGGTTGTTGTTGTAAGCGGAGATGGAAGGCTGCCAGTCCAACCCAGTCCAACAGAGTTTGGCATGTCTAGGCCCACTGACTTCAACAGGAGTAGGCATACCCAACTCTATATAGAAGAGAGCTATAAGGTTGTACTCATAAGGTGCTCAGGTCCCCAAAGCCAGTGCACTAGAAAATTGGGAAAATAATAAGAAAATGGTCATTCTATTAGTGCATGAGGCAAGCTGAGAAACAGCAGTGCTACTTATGAAATTACCTTTGGGGGACCTGCCAATAGCACAGTATGAGAAATTATATTATTTGAGGTGAAGGATTCTCCCTTTCCTTGTCTCTAAGCCCTGTTCACATGCATCCTTTTTGAGAAGCTGAAGCTGCATCGGGTAATTTTGTCTTTCATATTACATGGGAAGATAACTATACCAAGCAATCTGCACGTGGAAGCTCTGACATTGTTAATGATAGCGATGGGGCTGGTTGGTTCATGCTGAAGGATCTGGTAAAGTTACCGTGTATGAGCTTTATCACCTCAAGCTTACAAGAAGCTTATTGTCTTTTTCTTCTTAGGATCAACTTATAGTGTTCCCATGCCCTCCAAGGTCCTGTCCTTGACAGCCCTGCTAAAGTGTTGTAAGTTCAAGCCTTTGTGGAATTGCTGCGTGTCCTAAGAGTCTGTATTTTGCAGGAAGGTGATGTCTTTTTTAACTTGAATATGTCATAAATTTATTCCATTGCGTGCCAATCATTTCTGAGATGGCACGGCCTTAATGCAGGAACTTGATCCCTATGCAGGCATTTGCCTGCACACACAAGGGCTAAAACTGTGTAGCAGCAGCATGATCCAGCCTGCTTTGTCCATGTCCCAGGACACATGTGGGTTCCTTTAAAGAACTTTTAATGTTCTGCACACATAGAAATCCTCAGTGCAAGGAGGGAACAACTTGGCCAAAGTCCCTCCTCAAGCGGAGGAGCTCTACGTGCATGTGGACAGCCCTTTCCCCGGCTATCCTAATAGGTACGTCAGGGAGGCATTTTTGTGGTGTGCAGGTAAGGCGAGTTGTGGGGCTAGTCCATGTGACCTACCAGTTATTATATTTATTATGTAATATATACCCTGCTTTTTTCCTGCAAGGAATCCAAGGTGGCTCAGGTAATCTTCCTGCCTCCATTTGACCTGTGAAGTAGGTTAAGCTGATAGTCCATGCCTGGCCCAGGGTCACCCAGAGAGGTTCATGATCAAGTGATGAGGACAGTCAGATCTACTGAGTCCCCGTCCAACATTCTGCCCACTAGTGCCTCTGGCTCTCCATAGCTCTCACAAAGTGTCCAAAATAAACACAGAGGTGGGTGAGGAATAAGAAGCAGCATTATTCCTAAGTTCAACAAATGTTCACTGAAGGCTTGGCCATAGTACCTGCTGGCTTGATCCTAATTTATGCACTTTCAGCCATGTGAATGCAACTTATTGAGTTGACCAGGGTCTGAGACTGTGCATACAGTGCCTGTGCATGGAGACCTGTTGCTCACACTTTCTACTGAATGCACAGATTGTGGCGAGAGGCCAGTGACCACAGTCTCTGTCTTCTCTCCAGAGGTTGAACTAATACATTTTGAAGGTTGGTTGCATCATGACATTTACCTCAACCTCCACATTCACTGAATCATTTACATGGGCACATTAGCTTTGAACTTGCAACTAGGATGGCTTTATTGGTCCCTTCCAACCAAAACATTCTAGGATTTCTGTTTGTTTTAGATGCTGTTTAATCATATCACAGGGTTTTTTTAATTTCTTTTATTATTTTTCTTCTTGTCAATAACCTGAAAATTTGAAGAACAGTGTATATAGTTAGTACGTAAAGAGAGATATTAGTGTATGAATACCTGCATACCCAGAGGCACCCTGGTAGCAATGCAGACTCTGGAAAAATGGGAGTGGAATGGATTGCATCCAGACTGAGGTGCACATTTGGGAATATATGTGCAAACAAATAATGAACACATGGAGTAGGAACATCTGGGGATTCCACAGATGCTGTCAAGGTTAACACCAACTCCCATTAGCACCAGCCAGCATAGCTGGTTAGGTATGATGGGCATTATAGCCCAATTAGATATGCGGGGCACACATTCCCCACCCCGATGTAGAAGTCAAAAGAGGGACTCCACTGTTGGCACCCCAAAGTCCAGCTCCATAAGTGCATCTTGAACACCCACCCAGAACTACTTCAAGGACCAAAGCAGGGCATTACTTTAAATATGCATCCAGCAGCATTAAATTCCATCGTGGCTGCAGCTCCCATCAGGATTTAAAAGCTTTCCTCGCCCCCCACCCCCATTCCTCATGCCAGGGTCTCAGTCCGGGTCAGGAGTGCCTTCCCTGGAGTAATAATGAAAGGGTGAAGGAGTGGTAGCTGCCAGATACCGGTTTAATGTCTTGGCCCTAGGGGTGCCGAGCAAAGTTCACACCAACTCGTAAGGGGTTACGAGAAAGGAAGGGTGCCCACAAGAACTAGGGGCGGCGCGGGGGGCGTTGTGGGGTGATTCCCAGGTGTCCGGGGGGGGGGGCGATCTCACATGCGTGACGCTCTTACTCTCCTCCTCAGTCTGAGCCTGGGGGTGGAAAGGCGCTGCCGGGGCGTGGGGAAGCGTCCGCTGCCGGAGCAAGCCCCGGCTGCCCCTCCCCCCTCCGCGCGTGGGGCTCGGCGGCGAACGGCGGAGCTCTCCGAATCCCCCGACGCGAGAGGACCTGGAGGGAGGCTGGAAGGCCCCCCGAAGAAGCGATGCCGGCCCGGGACGGCCGCCCCCCGGCCCCCGGCCGCCCCCTTGCAGCCGGACTGCCCGTGTGAGAGCCCGACGCGCGGTCGCCCCGGCGCGAGCGCCCGCAGCAACAGCGGCGGCGGCCTCCTCCTCCGCCTCCCGCGGCTAGCCCAGCTCTCCTGCCCCCGGTGGCTCGAAAGGAACGGAACTGTCGTTGCACAGGAAGTCGCGGCTGCTGGGAGCACCCATTCAACGCCGGCACGCTCGCGCAGGAGAGCCAGCCCAGCCGCGGGATCTGCCGCACTCCATGCGAGAGCCTCCCTGCGCCGGAGCCAGGCGCCGCCGCCGCCACAATAGGCTTTGCCCTTGCCGCCGCCTCGGAGCAGCAGTACTAGCCGCCGCAGTAGCAACGGAGGCGGCGGCCTTAGCTGCGGTAGCGGGTGTCGAAGCAAAGTGCTGCCGCTGCCGCTGCCGCTGCCGCTTGGAGCGGGGGGAGGCTGTGGCTGCAGGCGCGGAGCCTCGCATCGGAGCTGGAGTACAAACCCAGGGCAGGCGGAGACCCATCCGTACCGAAGGAGGCGGAGGCGGGGGTGGCTGCTGCAGGTTTGTGCTGCTTTCGTAGGCACCGGCTAATGATGCTGACGGGGCCGGGCAGCCGGCGGCGGGTCGGGTTCCTTCCCCGTCATGCTGAGGAGCCCTTTCACTGGGTTTCCTCCATCCCCCTCGTTGGCACAGTCCTGGCTCCCCCCGTTTTTTGTAAGCGGCTTGTGCTGAGCTCAGCCTGTTTCTCCTTCTCTGCCGCCCCCTCCTCTGGACGCTTTACCCGCCTTTATTCCTTGCAAACCCCTCCATGCAGCCGTCTCTGCTGCAGTGTCGAGACTCCCCTCCCTCCCCCTTTGCATCCCCTCTTTCCCAGGCTGCCAACTTCTGCACAGCCCCCATCCCTTCTCGCTCGCTCGCTCCTCTTTCCCTCTGTAGTATAACCTTAACGGATTAGTCTGATTTTTCCCTCCCCCATAACACTGCATTGTGAGAGCCTCTGCCTTTATATCCGTGGATACGGGTAGCGTCCCTTCCTTCCCTCCCGCTAATCTCGACCTTTTCCCCAGTTGCTCTTCTGTTACGTTAGCGATGAAAGGTCGCTGGGTCCATCTCTGTGCGTGTGACTTTTACACTGAATTCCCCCCTTTTTTTTTTTGACCCCCCCCCCGTTTTGTCTTGGATTGCTGAAGCAGCGCTTATCTCCTGACAGTCCCCTCCCATCTCGTTCTGCCCCTTCTGCTTCCCCCAAAAGCTGTATATTGATTGGCTTTCCCATCTTGTATATCGCTGCTTTGTATGAATACCTTGCTCTTTCGACTTGCAGGAAAAGCGGCTGTGCGTGGGGTGGGCTCCTTTAGACCTAGCTGGGACCCGTTACTTTTTGTTTCGCCGAGCCATTATGTTTGCAGGCTACGCTTGCACTGTGAGCAGAATTTCAGCAGGTGCTTATTTTCTGCAGAGAGGCTGAGCATTTTGGAAACATTAGTAGCAGAGACTGGAGAAGAAAGCATCTTTCAACTTGCTCTGCCTTGAGAGAGAGAACGAGCTGAAGGCCCATCCCACTGATTTAACTTGTCTTGGTGTCTCTGGGAGTGTTCAGGGAATTGAAGGGCAAGGAGGTATTTGCGGCAGGATTTTTATTGTTGTCTAGGTTTTGCTTTTAGAAAGATTAATAAACAAGGAAATATGTGTACATGGGAGGGGAAGGGACCTTAAAGCTATGATGTTTCTGCTCAACATGCAAGGTAAGCTAGTATCATTATCATTACATTTCATTGGAGACAGAGCAGTATTCTTTACGTGAGCACCTTGAAAGTAAAATTCTATGGTTTATTAGGTGTTTTGTTTATTTTTACATAGAGCTCAGCAGATGTGCAGCAGCAACTGTCCATTCTGTAAACCTTTGAATTTGGTCATCTGTATCATTGTGAAAAGTCAACAAGATCATGTGTTATCAGAGTTGAGTGCAGATGTGAATCTGTAACTCGTCTTGTGCATGTCTTGCTGTACATGCGGAGAAATATTGCTTCCAGAGCTGTTCTGAATACAGTTCCCTCGTGCTGGCTTGCCTGGATTGAAGCATCTTAGATCTCTTGCCCATGTTCCCCTTTCTTTCTGTATGGTAGTGCACATGCCAAATTATCTCAACACAGAGCAAAATGTTACTTTGAAAGAAGCTATTACTAACTTCAGATGACTGCTTGCAGTGGACAGTGTTCTGCATTGCTACTGCCATTGTTTATCAACTCCACCTCTTTGTAGCAAGTAAAATGTGTCTTTTCTTTCACCACTGCTGTGTCCACCACAGGAGTGCACTATTTTTGACATTTCCGTCTGCATTACTCACCTGTGCTATGGAAGCCTTGTTGTGTATGACATCTGTCCTATGTCCGATACACTGCTGAGGTGAGTACTGAAAGTGTTTGAAACCTTTGCTTGTTAGAACCTCTGTACCAGCAGCCATGTGGCAGACAGGTAGACTTCTTTGAAAGTTTATTGTACTTGCCTGCTGGGCCTTGTTATGGTCATCCAAGAGGGCCTGCAGGTGAAGCTGCTCTTGATCTTGCTGTTAGGTTTTGCTATGATCCTCAGCCAAGGTGGCATGCCTTGGTCTCAGCTGTACCACTTCGGATTACAGGTGGGGAGATGCATAGGTGAACATTTTTCAGTAGGAAAAAAAACGCCTAGATATCAGGGAAATGGATTCTGCTGTGCTCTCCCTGACACATTAGTTCTCTAGATGTACAAATCTTTTTGTAGGACAGCATTTGTTCATGTGAGCACCTGTACTTTGAAGAGAGGGAGTCAAGAGTCAGCGATACCACCTGAAAACTAGGCCTTAATGATCCTTCACAATGTCTTCCTCTCTTTGGGAAGACTCTTTTATTAGAATGATGTATACTGATAACTTCTTTGATGAATTATTTATTTGGAGGAACATTTTTGCTTGACATGAAAGGCTAAAAGCAGAAAAATAGAGTCCTTGTATCTTCTCCCACAAGAACCACATAGTTGTTGTTGGGGTGCGTGTGTGTGAAATGAGTAGTGTGCTCCTGCAAAAATGTTTTTGCATGTGTGTGGCAGAGCTGACTTGGCTGTAAGGGTATTCATTTTTGTCTGTCAAGACTGCATCAGGTCCTAAGGCAATGAATTTCCATCTCATCTCTTCTTCTGAAATTAAAAAAGAAGGGGATGGATCCAGACTCTGTTGCATATAAATGCCATTGATTTCAATGCCTGGATCTAGCTTTCATAGCAGGTATTTGTGACAAAATGACGCTTCAGCTTCTTTCCCTGCTTTCACCTTGTGTATGTGTACATGCAGTGTAGTTATTTTTCAGATTCTGTGGCTCATCTGTGTTTTACTTAGTCTATAGTTAATCAGAAAATTTTCAATATGATGATACACTCTCACTTTGTATTGGATCTCACTTTCTGCTCAAGTTACTTGGCACTTGCTGAGTCTTCTTACTTGAATTGCTGCTTCTGGAGGAACATATTTGAGGTCTGTAAGAGCAGCTTTGGCTTACTCTAAGGATTGTTGCTATGGGTTTTTGCAACTTCTTGTCTTGCCTTATGGTATTTGACATCTTAAATTGATTCAGAGAGCAATCCCAGGTACAATAGAAGTGCCTGGATTACCCCTTCCAAGGTTGGGGGCAGTGTCCCCACATCAGAAGGGAGAGTTGGAGATCCTGCTGGCCTGCCCCACTTTTTTCCAGTCAGTCTGGAGAGAGCTGTGCCAGCTGCCCTTCAAGGTTGGAAAAGCATCTTCAAAGGGGGAGGAAATGGGGCATTCTGAGGGGTATGGAGGAGACTGGAAATTCCAGGATATGATTAATCCTGAGCTGTTTCCCAGCCTCCTTCCCTTCCACTCCCTCCCTTTGCCTGGAGGGCTGAAAAGATTGATCTGGCAATATTTGCAGGTAGGACGACAGGGAGGCAAAGATCACCCCACTACTTCTCCTGCTCTGCACTGGATGGTCCTTTAGAGACCTACAAATTCAGGTGCTTCAAGTCCCCCAGAGAGCACGTGATAGGACTGCACCCTCAATAATAAGGGCACTATTTTATGTCATTGTGTTTTGTTTATTCAAAATCTATCTTTTTTTAAGTTTAATTGCTTCCCACCCCACCCACCTTCCTCGGTCAGAAACTCTGACTTCCCATTTCTGGAAAACAGAACTGTATTGAGAGTAGTAAGGTAGAGAGGGTACTCTGTAATTGGAAACCTACATGAGTAAGAAAGGTTGGTACTCAATTTAATTTTAGCTATCACTAAAACTTTATCTGACTGCATTTATGGAACATGTAAGTAGCGGCAGCAATTCCATGTCAGATACCAACAGTAAGAAATCTTGTTTGTCTACTCTTAATATTTCAAACCAGAGAATTGCTGTTGTGTTATTTTATTTATTTATTTGATTTATACCCTGTCTTTTTTCCTACAAAGGGCTTAAGGCAACTTACATCATTCTCCTCCTCCATCTTTTATCCCCACAACAACAACCCTGTGAGGTAGGTTGGGCTGAGAGTCTGTGACTGGCCCAAAGTCACCCAGCTGGCTCCATGGCTGAGCGGGGACGAGCACCCAGATCGCCTGAGTCCCAGTCCCGCACTCTTAACCACTGCACCACACTGGCTCTCAGTTATGCACAGTTATGTGAATGGATTCAGCAGTTGTAGACAAATTGAAAGTACAGGAAGTTTCAAAGTTTAGGGGTCTTCCAAACTCTGTTAAACCAGTAGTGAGCAGAAGGTAGAACTTCAGATATTTTGGATGTCAACTTCTAGAAGTTAGTGTCACTATGAGAAATGATCAGGCATGCTGGAAGTTGAAATCTAAAATATTTGGAATTCTGCCTTTTGCCCACTCCTGCATTAAACTGCTATTTTCCTTCATCCACACAACTATTTCTTGGTCATTATTTTATTTTGGAAATTTATTCTCCACTATTCAATTTAAAATTCCAGGATGCTTATAAAAGCAGTTTCTGTGAAAGAAGAGGCATAGCTCAAAACTATTCACAATCATAAAATTGCCCTTTCATAAAACGGCATGTTTGGAATATCAGCCAATTTACCTTACCCTTACCTTACTCAGAAACTCTTGATTATTTTTAGAGTGTACCAAATGCTGAATGCATTTATCATCATGGGTTTTCATATGCCCTAAACATGTGAAATATACTCTCTGGCTTCGTTGGTTTATTTTCATGCTACTTATGAGGCACATCACTTGGCAGGCACAGGTGCTCATTTTCATGCCTACACCCCAAAAGTGTTCCACTGCTTTGCCCTGCATGGTGTCATATTTGAAAGCCCATCTTTGTGTCTAGACAAAGATAAAATGGCTGCCTTCAGCAAAAGGATTTAATGAGCCTTGGGAAATAGTTTTAAAAGTTCCACAAAGTCCTGCTTGAAATTGCAGTTGCCTGGTTTTGTTCTGCAAAATTAGCACCAAGCTAATAGCTAGGAGAGTCTATGACTATCAACTCCGCTGTGCAATCAGGAGGGCTGGCAGAGAGGTTGAAGGCAGAGAGGCTGAAGTGGAGAGGGAC